TGGGAACTAATGTCCTGAGAGGACCCTTAACCCTTAAACTGAAACTACCCCTGACATCATCTTTAGTTTCGCTGAAATAGAAATTGTCGCCAACAATACAAAACAATATTTTAGCTTAATTAAGAAGGTATGCCTCTCTTGATCACTGTGTGTTCTAAAATAATTATCTATATGCGATCAAAGTGACCAAAGCAACTTGGAAAACGAGATGAGAAGCTTAGGGAGCAGTGAGTATTTCTTCATGGTGGGGCAATGATGTGCACAGTGAAAATGGTTACTTAACCTAAAGAATGTGCTCCGTGTTCCAGAGTTGTACATGCAGAAAATGAGTTAGTATATATATATAATAATTCACCATATATATATACTATATTCCTCTCAAATAGAATAATGCTTTGAAAGATTAAAAGAAGTTCACATAATCTCTTTTCTTGTGCTCTAACTGGTCCTTTGTTACAGTCTCATTTTCTTGTTTTAGCGATGTACTATTTAACGTTGGTTTGTTCTTACTGCTGTTCAAGTTGTCTTTATTCCCTGAATTCTTGCTGTTTCTCTTAGGGCCATTTTTCTGTTTATTATTGATTTTGTTTTTGTTGCAAAATTTCTTCAAATGTCAGATGATCCCCACGTGTCTGTTTGTATAGGAGTGTAACACAATAAAGTCAAACTACTTGGGAGCGCCGTGCTTCAGTTCAGCTTGTCAACTGGTGTGATCTGGTAGGGAGATCCCATGTGTCTGAAGGCTTTGCTCTAGGACTGTTAATTTCCTCCAAGAAGAACCTTCCCTTTCCTTGCCCAAGGATCGAAGTGTAGAGTTAGAGATTTCTGTGTGCAGGGAGAGTCAGCTGTTTCATATACATCCTTATAATTAATCCCTGAGTTGTCAGTTCCACATCTCAATCCTATTTTTCGTTGTCCCTGATGCATCTGAACGTTGAGATTTTCTGGGATCTTGGAAGACAGACCTCTCTTGGTTGTATTTCTCCAGGTTACTGCTTCTTTTGCCCCTCCCTCCCTTGCTTCCCGCCCTCTTCATCACTTACCACACCTATGTCTGCTCTCTAGCTTTAGAAATGGACCAAGTTATCTGGCCTATGAATGGTGGCACTGTCAGCTTTGTTGTTGGGTTTTTATCTTTCTTACTTCCGTTACTACCAGAGATGATCAGCCATCTGGCCATTGACTGAGCCATCAACACTCCTGGGTCTTCTGTGGAGCAGGAACAATGGGAATTATCCATTCTTTGGTGAATTTTGGAAACTTCCCAAAAGGACAGTTTGTAAAAGCCCAGGCAAAGACATCTGAATTCTTTGGAACCTTTGTTGTCAAAATTACTTGAAATCATTGCATTAACTCCAGCTGTAAGGTTTTGTTTTGATGGCATTGACAAGTATTGGGGACAGCATACCCCTTCCACCAGGTCTTTGTGGTTTGCTTTAGAATATGTCCCTGGATAGATTAGACGCTTAATAAGAGCAGCTAAAGTAAGGCATTTGGACTTTGCCATCAGATTCCCACTAGCTATGGATTTTGTTTGTTTGTTTGTTTCTCTTCTTAAAAAGGGGGAGATGGGGAGAGCTACCGTGTTAGCCTGGATAAACTAGAGAAACAAACCCATTTTTCTCTTACAATGCAGCCGGTGGGCCCAAAGCACCTATCTTTTGGTTTGATACTGAGCGCTTAATCATTGCACCACCAGGGCTCTTTTTTTAATAGAGGACACTGCCTTGGAGACTTGCCTCACGTGTCGTTGCTTTTTCATTAGTGAGAACTGAACTTTTCTGTGTGAAGCCACTGAGACTTGGGGATGATTTTCTACTGCAGCAGCAGCCCAACGTATCTTGACTAATATAACCTCTGTGCACATTTGTGCTCCTATTTCTTATATTAACGATTTGTGTTTCCTCTTCTGAGAACTGTTTATTCATTCCACGTCTACTTGCTTTTTTTCCAAAGTGCACTATTTATTCTTTTGCTATTGATTTGTAAGGGTTAAAAAATCAGTTCTGTATATATTAATCCATTATTGGTTATATATATATATTGAAAATACACTCTCACTGTTTGTACCTTATGTTTAACTTTGCTTGCAGTGTTATTGTTCCTAAGAGAAGTTTTTCACTTTAATGTAGCCAAATTAGTGGATCTTTTCCTTTGTCATTTGTGCTTCTTAGAAATTCCCTTTCTGTCCTTTATCCATTGTCCTATTTCTAAGTAAATTTTTTGAAGTTTTGTTTCTCCCATTTTGATCTTTAATCCATCTGGATTTTAGGGTTTTTTTTTTTGTTGCATATACCATGAGGGTGAGCTCTCATTTTATTCCCCTCTTGTACCTCTACAGATAATAAATTGTCCGAGGACCATGTATTGACCAGTCCATCCTATCTTCACTAATTTATAATGCCACTTTGGTCATAAACCAGTTTCACACACACACACACACACACACACACACACACACACGTCTGCTGCTGGGCACTCTTATCTGAAACATATTTCAGGAATCAGCTATGTCCTGCTGGTGCCATCTGGCCCACAGCCCTTTTATTGGTATGAGCTCTGGGCACTGTGCAAGCAAGCCGGTGCATACTCTGTTGCCCTTGTTCCTCCCTGGGTCTGCTTCCCCTCCAGGCGGTTGTGCCATGTGCTTCCCCGGGTCTGGCGGGTCTTCCTTTACTCATTAAGAGCCCTCCTGTTGGCACCTGACAACATGTAGTAGAATCAAGTCTGGGAGTGTGGTGCTTACATAATCTGGTGTCAATTTGGGACTTGAGATGATTAAGAGTGAAGGGGTGGAGTCTAGTCTGTTAATCAAGATATAACCAATGAGGCCTCTGTGTGAGCATGGCCTTCTGAGAATTCTGGGAACTCCTGTATTTTTCCTCAGAGGTAGGAGACACTTCCTCTCACTACTCACTCCCTTGGAGACTCTCTACTGACAGCACTCACTCCTTGAAAGATGCTTTACCAACAAGACACATGACACTAGGCCCTAGGAGCTGGAGAAGCCACATGGACCTACCCTGATGCAATCAGACCTCTGGAGCCGAAGAAGCCACGTAGAGACCTGTGCCAGCGCTGAGATGCTTTCAACGCCACTGGATCCACAAGACTTTCAACCCACTGGGTTGTGATCCTCCTGCATTCGGCATCATTGCATGTGTTTCGTGAGTCTGAAGAGGACTCTATAGATTGGTATCAGACATATGGGCGAATATTGGACTTATGGACTTGAACTGGACTGAGCTGGGACATTTTCTCAATATTCAATTACTCTCATATATAAACCTCTTTCTTATTCACATATGAGTCCCCATGAATTTGTTTTTCTAGTCTACCCAGACGAACACAGGGAGTCACAGTGTGGTGACTTGTCTCCTCTCTGGCTACCTGTCCAGGTTAAGATGGCATCACTCTCTGGGAGAAGAGAAGGGTGTGCTGCTATGGCAACCATTCTCTCTTATTTCTCCAAAGCCGATCAGCACCTTCTACCTTATTTATAACCAACCACCCCATTTTTATCAGGAATAACAGTTTAGGGCTTGGAATTCCTTTCAGGATGTTACTAATTCATATATGTCCTCCTCTGCCCACCTCCTAGTAATATGTGTAGTAAGTCCTTACCTCTATGCAAGTGAATATAATTGTGTTTGTATTATGTTATTGAGACAGGATTAATGAAGGGCCCTGGTGGCATAGTGATTACAAGTTGGGCAGTTAATTGTCAGGCCAGCAGTTCAAGACCACCAGCTGCTCTGAGGGAGAAAGACAGGACTGTCTGCTCCTATAAAGAGTTACAGTTTTACCCTGCTCTTTAGGGTCACCATGAGTCAGCATCAACTCGATGACAGTGAGTTTGAGTTTGTCTTGAGTCGATATTTTTGAGATATAAGAGATTAAAGAAGCAAGCAAGCAAAGCAGAGGTGGAGGAAGAGAGAGCCAAGCCACATGAAGGTTGCCCAAGAGTAGAAGTTCAAGGAGTCAAGGACTTACTTCTTCCAGAGCCAGTGGAGAGCAAGTCTTCTCCTAGTGTTTGCACTCAAAATGTTGACTTCCAGCTTACCAAATTGTGAGCAAATAAATTCCAGTTTGTGAAAGCTATTCAGTTGTGGCACTTCGGTTAAAGCAGCAGTAGATAACTAAGACACAGAGCTAATGCCTGGTGGTTCCAGGCAAAGTGGGATGGGTTTTCAGTGGCTCCTTTAACCTCTAATGGGTAGCTTTCATCTGAAGAAGGTTCCTATCACTGGGAAATTGGGTGCCATGCCTAATCACCATGTAGATCACTCCAGGCAAATGGGGTGGGGAAGAACAGGATTCATCTCTTTTTATGTAAGTTACCCACATAATATCTTTAATGTTACTCTTGGCAGACAAAACCCTAAAATATTTACTTTTGTGACGCTATAAAGAAGATGTAAACTTTCAACTTTTGATCTATTTATTTTCTGCTAATACCACCTGGTTTAAAAATCTGTATAGATTTATGATAGGTGAGAGGGATTCTTCCTTCCTTCTTCAATGGTGTCCTACCCGTTCCTACCTGTTATTCTCTCAGATAAATTTTAGAATTATCTTCCTAAGTCCCACAGGGGGGCAAATACTGTTGATATTTTGATAGGAATAGAATAGAATTTATAGATATTTGGGATAAATTGGTCATATTTGCAATATTGAATCTTCACATGCATGTACTTAGGGCTTTAGAAATGTCCTTAATCATAGCATTGCGAATGAGGGGGACTGCGGAGTGGGAACCCAGGCCCATCTGTGGGAAATTGGACATCTCCTTTCAGAAGGGCTGTGGGGAAGAGACAAG